ATCATCATTTAAATAATTTTATTGATCAGCAGCAGCATAATAAGCATCAAAAAAAAACATGATAATAATAATCAGCGCAATCAGAATAAGAATAATCATTACTTAAATAATAATAATGATCAGCAGCAGCAGCATAATAAGCATCAGAATCAATCATCAGTCCTCATATTTTACCCAACAAACTACCAAAAATTGTCCCATTCCAACACCATAAATTTGTATGGATTTGGAATAATTTTAGTGCCGGCCAATTTAAAAACGGCCGGAATGAGTTTTAAGAAATATACCGCAGAGGACAATCATATAAATTATAATTCGACAAACAGCCGAATCAGCTGATTCAGGGCCTAAAATATACATCAGATTTCAGGGGACACACTTTTTAATTCGGCCGATAGAGTTATAAGATTTTCAGTTAGTTCAGTTAGATTTTCATAGTTGGGATGAAGGCGGAATAGAAGGAGAAATCTATAATAACATAATGCGATTATTTTTAGATAATGAACTATAAATTTGTGACAAATTAATCGTCTGGAATAGATTTACACGATAATTAAAAGTGTTATGCTATTCATTGGCTTTGATAAAGGCAAAGCCACTGCAGATAAAATGTATAAAATATATACTAGAACAAATTATCTAAATACTTATTATCAATTGTCTATATTTTCTACATTGAATAGAGTAGGAAAAGTAAAATATTATTAGATTTGGTATATTAATTCATATTACAAAAATGTAAAATAAAACATTTACAATTAAATCCGTTCAGTGGTTTTTGAGATGAACTGTTACAAAAACTCCGAAAAAACTAACCTATTTCACATTTATCTAGTTGTATAGGAGTATGTAGATAATAGATAGAATATAAATTAAATATAAATAAATAACTATAAATATAAATTAAATTGTAGTTAGATTTTAATGTTAATGAACAAGGAATATTAGTTAATATTTGGTAATATTATTGATTATTATTTGTAACTAATCCTGTAAAACATTGGTTATATAAGGTGGTATTTTTGATCCTTCTTGGGTTCGGCGTGATGTTAAATCGTTGAAATTTGTTGCAGAAGGATAGTTGACTCCACTTGACACAACTTCTCCTCTGGATACGTATTTCCATTTGATTCGTACGAACTTCTGTAGTTTTGCATTTTCTTCGGCAATGTAATATGAGTGGGTGACAAAAATTTCTACAGCAATAATTATTATATAGATGGAATTCTAAAAAAAGTTATAACACACAAGTATAAAATTAAAACGCTGTAGTTTATTTAGGAAGTATAATATAATTTACAAATTTTTTTTGAAGTAGCTATATTATTTGTATACTAATAAATTATTAGTCTTAGGAAACTAAATTTCATTAGTGTATACATTTTCAACATTAGTGTATTCAGTGACTTATTGTAATAAGTCAATGTACACCAGTATGTATTTTCATAATTAAATATTTTATATTAAAAAAACCACAAAATTGATTTAGATAAGTTCCATCAAAACCATCATAATATGAAAGTACCTAACTATAAATGCTTTTATTATCCGAAATCAGTTACAAAAAGCAATTGTACTATAGTAAAATAAAATGATAAATCCTTGTAATTATTTAATTAGGTATCAATTTGAGTTCAATATTCAAATGTTAAAGTTTGTTTTTTATTTATCCTACTATGAATGATACTTTTGTTAGTAGATAAATGTCAGTGTATATATTGATAATACTCTTTTGGATCATATTTTATAATATAATATTTCAAGTGAAATCATAATATTTCTTTATTATAATTTATCAATTACAATACTCGTAAAAAAAAATAATAATAAAATAATACCGATGATAGTCTTTTTTTTGTTTTTTTCGGTCGATATATTATTTTATTTTACTCATATATTAGGTATTTTTTATTGTGTAAATTATTTGAGTAGGATAGTACATAAATACATGATTTAAATAATCAATAATTTGTTAATATATACATACCGAAGATAAATGTAACCCGTTTTCATGGGAAAAGAAATGCGCATATAAAAAATTTTCAAAAGAACCAAACATTATAATTCTGTTCACTACATAATATACCATGTGGATTATCATGAATATTAAATTTCCATAATAAACGATGAGCCATGCGTAGATGTTTTGAGTAGTGTGCTGAAATGAGTAAAAGTTCATAGCTGATAAAACAGAACTAAGATTACAAAAATCGCAATATTTATTTTTATATTTTTGTATTAAATACCTTAAAGGTGGCTCTTTTGAGACCGATATTTACGATTAACTCCAGAACGATCCAACCGTAACAAACAATAAATAAATAATCCATGAATATTCCTGGAGAGGCAAATTCCATATGTTAATAATAGTTATATAATGTCACGGGTCGATATTAATTATTTTTTACTAACCATGCATAGCGGGAAACATTTCATATTCTTCTGTCATAATATTGT